CAACAAACAATAATTAAGTTAACAGTAATTTCATTTTCCTTCAAGTCTCTAATAGTTTGGTTACCTTTTTTACCTTACGGGTCTTTTGCCAGTGCCTGTTCGTGATGGCCTCTCGATACTATCGAAGGGTTCAAATCCTGCTTTCCATTTCCAGGTGACTTCAGCTCAAACAAATCATCTATATTTATAAATAAAATCTTCAATTAATAATTCCCATAACCCCATTTTCATCAAAGTTTAATTTAGCTTTGGTCTGCTCATGTTCGCAGCAAGGAAACAAAAAACATGGACGGAAAGGCTTCTACAGAAAACCATTGCACAGTGCTGATATCTTATCTTTCATTCGACGTGCAAGAAGATCAGCAGCATGAGAAAAACTTGAAACGGGAATCCATATGTTTCTGTTGCTACTGCTTTTATTAGCTAATCTTTTGTAGTGGTACTCATGGTTTGTTTTAGGTAGAGATATGCTGAATATTCCCAATAGGGGGACTGGAGATTTCTTGTAATATATTTCAAGGTTCCATAGATGAGGCAGAAATGTCTTGATTAAATGTTCATATCTATATAATTATGGGAAGAATTATTGCATGTAAGGTAGCAAAGACAGTGAGCAAAGTTGGGTTAATTTCTGATTGGAGAAATAATCGGTACTTGGAAAATCACAGCATTGTAAATCTACGATAAGATTTATGATTAATTATAGGTTGAGTGTTTTATTTTAGTTCATTTTTAATGGCATTTTGGAGCAAATTAAACGGGAATTAGTTGTAAGCATTAAGTGTCTAGACATAATTTAATGACACAATAGTTAAAAAAATTTTTAAATTATTTAAAAATATTTAAATAATTTTTATATTTTTATCACGTTTAATCAAATTTTTATATTTTTATTTTGAGTTAAGCTCTCATGTTTTTATTTTAAATCAAAAAAGTTTTTATGATTAATAATTGACTTAATTAAAATGTCATTTGTCATTCTATATCGTACTAACATATTATATTAATATGATTATATAACATTTTTCATCCTCCTCACCAACATTATGTAAGTAACTTGTAGATGTAAAATGATAAATAGTATTTTAATTTATAATAATTAGTCAATAGTTAATCATAAAAATTTATTTGATTAAAAATAAAAAATATTGAGATTTGATTGAATATAATAAACGAATAAAATTTAAATTTTTTAAAATAATTTACGGATTTATTTAAGTATTATACTTAATTTAATTAATCTTTTAATGATTATGTAAATGTCAAAAATTATTGTGAAAATGCAATTAAAGAAGAGAAATTATTATGAAGTTGACCTTAAGAGAGCAACAAAATGTCAAAATCGATGACAACTAAAGATACCAAATTTTATTAAACCGATCTTATTAGGCGAAATGTTGACATATTTTATAAAGTTTATTTATACCTTTTCTTTCGTAGCTACTCCTTTAGTTTCATAATTAGTGTTTCAATTTGACATTTTCAAAGTCTGATCATTTTTTATTTTACCAATAATTACTAATTAAAATTTTAAAAAATAATTTTTCAAAATTATGAATAAAGTAGTTTTCAAATATATATTTATTAAAATGTAATTTAATCAAATATTTAAAATAATTAAAGTTAGAATTTAAAAAATTTAACTAAAAAGGGGTTAAATTAAGAAGTATTTATAAGACAGGGGAAGTGCTAGTTTATTTTAATTATAAGTTTTTGTTAATAAATGTTTTAAGGTATTTTTGAAAGTTACAATATTAGGAAATACTCTTTTATATATATATATAAAGAAAAAGATCAAAAGAATTTATTACATCATCTACGACCATGATATGCCTAGACTACGAGTAATGTTCTTTATATAAATTAAAAACAATTGTATTACCTATACTCATAAAAATAATAATTTAATACAAAATATTATTATAAAATAATTAGCTTGAAACATACCCTAAAAGCTCTCTTTAAAAAACCTTTAATTATATTCTAAAAAATATTTTCAGTTTTCAGTTATTGCGGGGGGGACCCATGAATCCACGTAACACCTCATGCTCGTCGCGGCATCAGAGCATGTGGTGGAGGCTAGTCTACCTAACATTTGAAAACAAGGAAAAACTTTTAAAAAAAAAAAAGTCATCGAAGAAAGAAGAAAAAAACCGTTGGAACAAGTGCAGCACTGAGAAAAGCACAAGCGCCCACAGTTCAGGATATTTAGGCGCCCGCTGTTAAAGAAACTCCTGAAACCAACCTAAGAATCTCAGCTTATAAAAGAAAAAAAGAGCCCCTCCTTTACTTTCTCATTTCTCAACTCTACCAAAACCCAGAGAACACTTCGAGTTTACGAAGGCAATGGATTCAGTATTTGCCGCCATTGCTCAAGCCCCCGAAGATCCTATTCTAGGGGTAACTCTCCCTCTCTCTCTCTCTCTCTCATTTTGAACCGATCCTCTTCGTTGATCGAAGCAATAGCGTGTTTGATCGCGGAAATCATGAACTGTTTGACGAATATAGCCAAGAATATCTCTTTTTTAAAAAAAATATTTTGCGTGTTGTTGTAATTTTGAAGTTTCATTTTAGATTAACTTTTTTCATTTTCCCTTTTTTTTAATGATTAGGCGAAGCTTCCTTTGTTATCATATAATGATATGATTATTTTTTGGTTATTCTGAATATTTTATTGGAACAAATAGGTGACTGTTGCTTACAACAAGGATTCAAGCCCGATTAAGTTGAATTTAGGCGTTGGTGCTTACAGAACTGAGGTTTTTTTTTTTTTCAATTTTTTTCTTTTTTACCTTAAAATATTTTCTCAATTAAAAAATTGATCAATCTTCCTTTTTAATATGATGTTGATTATGTTTATCTGTTTATGTCAATAACAGGAAGGAAAACCCCTGGTTCTAAATGTAGTTCGAAAAGCGGAGCAGCTTCTTGTTAATGACCTGTACGCTACTCAAACCATTCTGTTTTTCATGCCCTTGTTGCGTTTTGGATTGTTTTGTAAATTTGTTGATCATGTATTACATTTTTCAGGTCAAGAGTCAAGGAGTACCTTCCTATTATTGGTCTTGCTGAGTTCAATAAATTGACTGCTAAACTCATTCTTGGTGATGACAGGTAAAGAAAGGAAGAAAGAAAAAAATAATTAAAAAAAAAGCTGATTTGATTCAGTTGAAATTATTTATAAATGGTTGTTTAGTTCTTTTGCAATTCCTGTTGTGTTTTATTGATAGCTTATTTGATGTTTTTTGGTCGTTGCTTTTCTGGGTAGTCCTGCTATTCAAGAGAGCAGAGTGGCGACTGCTCAGTGCTTGTCTGGTACTGGTTCCTTAAGGGTTGGAGCTGAGTTTCTAGCAAAGCATTATCACCAAGTAAAATGCACAATCGTCTTCTGTTTTTCATTTGTTTTAGTAAGTTGTTAATTGTTATTATTTGAAGAGCAAGTAATGCTTACTTTGCCTACCTTTTGTTTGCTAGCGTACCATATACATTCCACAGCCAACATGGGGAAACCATTTAAAAGTGTTCACGATGGCAGGACTGTCAGTGAAGACTTACCGCTACTATGAACCAACAACTCGTGGGCTCCATTTCCAAGGTCTGAGTCTATATTATGAATGAGTTGCTTCTTTTAATAAGTTAATTCAATTCAACGGTCCTGGGGGAACAAATGAAGTCTTCAATAATTACAGCTTAGCATAGGTTTACTTTTTTATTGCCTGTTTTTGGTTTTAAACTCCTTCATACAAGTTCTCTGTGGTTTACGGAACCAATGTCTTGGTTTTTAATTGCCCTGGTATGTATACTAATAAAAAGAACGGCACTTTTGGGTAACAGGCTTGCTAGAAGATCTTGGAGCAGCACCAGCTGGAAGCATAGTGCTTCTTCATGCATGTGCTCATAACCCAACTGGCGTTGACCCAACTGTTGAGCAATGGGAACAGATCCGGCAGTTGATAAGATCAAAAGGGTTATTGCCTTTCTTTGACAGTGCTTACCAGGTAATTGTCAGATATTGATTAAAGCTATGTGCGATTTTGTTAAAATACTGCATAACAAACTCCATAGATGTTAATCTTATATGTTTTAATAGGTTATACAATGGTTAATTAACTAAAACTTGAGTCTGACATTCCAGGGATTTGCAAGCGGTAGCTTAGATGCAGATGCACAGTCTGTTCGCATGTTTGTTGCAGATGGCGGGGAATGCTTTATAGCTCAGAGTTATGCAAAAAATATGGGACTTTATGGGGAGCGTGTTGGTGCTCTCAGCATTGTAAGATGCTGAACTTATAATTCTTGAGCAATTTCTTTCCTTGTGACTAAGTAAATGCTGGGGGGCCAAATTAAGACCCAAATCTTATGGCTGAAAACTGTAACTCTGACAATTAAGCAGAATCATCCTTGACATTCACTAAGACTTTTAATATATAATCTTATAGGTAAAAATAATTTCATCTTCTCGTATTGACTTGTCTGCCAACAAACTATGTCTGAAGTTAAAACTTTCTCACACACTTTGGTTCAGATACAACTGATATTCAGGATGCAGACCTCTTTTTGTTTTATATTAAGTATGGCATCTTTCCAGCAGTCTGGGAAACTGAGTGCTCTGCTCCCTTTTGCTCGTAGCTACATCAGCATAGGAGTTTTAAATCATAATTGGTTTTTAAAGCATGATAGTCAGAATTGTATCCCATCATTTAGATTGAATCAGCTTTAAACAATTTAAGTCCACATTTATAAGAAGAATTCACATAATGGTGTCTATTGCTGTGTGGAAATTGCCAAGTTTTTTCTTTTTCCCCACTTTTTGGAATAAATAGCTATGGACAAACAGCATTTTTACAATATCTTGGCAATTATTGAAGATGATTGGTTTACTAGATAGCCACTAAAGTGATTTTAAAGGGAAAAGTTATATTTTACATTTTAATTAGTGGCAATGCTTCCATTCTTTCTTTTACTTTACATGAACTATCGCCTCTTGCATAGAATATAATAATAATTTTATTAACAGGTCTGTAAAGCAGCTGATGTTGCAAGCAGGGTTGAGAGCCAGTTGAAGCTTGTGATTAGGCCCATGTATTCTAATCCACCTATTCATGGTGCATCAATTGCAGCCACCATTCTCAAGAACAGGTAAGTCCCTTTTGTGGTGTAATGAAACCAAACTGTATTTAGAACTTGTTAGATGACATGGAAACTAGAAAATCTGTAAAAGTTTCTAGGAACTGGAATGGACAGTTTGTCTTGGTGTTAGAGATTGAAGAAAAATGAATGTTAAGATTCATAAGACATTCCGAATAAAAGAATTATCCTTTCAAACAATGATTGGTGCTTTCTACCCAATGGTGACCACTGCCCAAATCTGTAGTAATAATTAGACAAAGTATACATGCATTTATATGTACAATTTTTGGGGGCAATTTTTTTATCAATGATTTTCTTGTTGGACTTCGATTAAGTAACTACTCAAATCAATTTAACTCACTTATGGACTGCACTTTTAATTTTTCTCTTTTACATTTGTTTATATTTTTCTTTGCAGTGATATGTATAATGAGTGGAAGATTGAACTGAAAGCAATGGCTGACCGGATTATTAGCATGCGCAAACAACTATTTGATGCTTTAAGGGCTAGAGGTTTTACTTAATCTTTTCTTCCTATGTTCTATTTGTGGTTGTGCCTTTCTTTTCTTAGTTTTCCTTTAAGCATGAAATGTAAGTTTGATAGGTATGACTTATGAGTCGGTCAACATTTATTATATCTGTCAACTTACGAAAGCCTTGTTTAAGATCTTGGTGTCTGCTGACCTCCTTTATAATATATTGACAAAAACTGTGCATATAGGTTTTTCAGGTATTTTCTTCACTGTTATATGAAGTCTTTGGTGTATTCACCAAGCTCAGAAACCATACATGTGTCTATCTCTGTTTTGGCAGGCACTCCAGGTGATTGGAGTCACATTATCAAGCAGATTGGAATGTTTACTTTCACAGGGCTGAACAGTGATCAAGTTGCTTTCATGACCAAAAAGTACCACATTTACATGACATCTGATGGGTAAAAAGATCTGTTGCTTGTTTATTTCCATCCCATTTGTTGAGTTTTTTTCTTCTAAATATTCTTTGAGGGTTCGGTTTGTAGTTGGTTGGCTAAGAAGGTTAATTTCCTCTCTCCAAAATTCTGCTTGTTGCAGTGAAAATTGTTTCTAGACTAGAAAATGATGCCTTGAGATTTGTCTTCCCGGTATTCCTGCATGAGCCATAATCCTAATCAATTATGAGATCATTTGACATCAATGTGATAAATGTTGTATTATGATTTAACATTTTCATTCAACATGAAGAGAGCTTCTTTACTTCTATGATAAAGTTGTTTCCATTTGAATTTATATGGCTTTGTAGCGCTAAGAAATTGAGTTGTTGACATACCTCCCTAAAACAAGTAAGTACATATTCTAGTTGTAGTTTGGTATTCTGTTCCTCCTTTAATTCTAGAGATTTTTCACTGCCCTTACTTCCATACCTACCTAACGACCATGTCAAGGACTTACATTTAGAATTTTGGCTCTCTTTTGTTGCTTCATTTACTGTAGCCCTAAACTGGAACCTCATTTTCATTGTTGATTTTGTTATTTAATGTGCATTGGGAAGCCAGAAATGGGGGCTTCTGAAGTCGTATAATCTATGTACCATAGAACTCATTTACAGTTGCCAAAGATTGTCTTGCTTGCTAATATCAATCAGAAAGTGTCTAATTTAACTGACATCTTGCTAATTATAGGTTTAAAGTCATTTTCTTACTTCTTCTTTGCAGGAGGATTAGTATGGCAGGTCTTAGTTCCAAGACGGCCCCTCATCTTGCAGATGCTATACATGCTGCAGTCACCGGTGCCTGTTAGAAACAGGTGTGAGATTTATGTTGCAAGGACATTTGGTTATAGTCCATCTATGTGATGGTTTTTTCCCCAACCTTTTCAAGCAAATACTATGATTTTCCGTAATAAACACTTAACTGGAATGCAAATTTCGGATTTTAACCCAATTTTGATATTTTGATTTCAATGTCTAACATGTTGCCAGAGGCATCGTAAGCGGTTATCAACCGTTTGCAATATAGGTTTGTTGGATTTCTTTTCCTTCTATTTTGCTTAGTTCGGCAGGTCATTCTTTAAGAACAGAAAACAACCCCTTTTTCGCAATAACCTTTCTAAAGGGTTATGCGGTACTCTAGTATTTCTGAAGGGTTATTATACTTCATTGCAGCAAAATTATGTCTTCTAATTTCCTCTTCCCGAACCCAAGAGCGGACACGAATTGTTGATCTACTGAAGTTACTCAAACAATTCTAAGAAGCTTGAGCATGTTTCTTTTGTGGCATTTGGTTCCTTCGTGTTCAAACAGCTCGGAGAAATGACCCCTCTCCTGACTCCCAACTTTATGCTGTTTTGGTAACTGATGCTGAAATTTTGAAAAAAAAAATGCAAGTTCTTTTATTGGGCTTGTGAATTTCTTTTGCCTGTTTGTGGAAACGATACTATCTGAAAAATGATGCAAAAAAGAGTGAGAAATTTACAAATAAAGCAGGGTTAAAGGAGGGTTAGAGAGCAAAGTTAGGGTTCCATTGCATGTTGGAGGCAAAACGTTACGTATATATATCCCCAGATCGGATAATTGACAGTAACTAGAGATCAACACAGGCAGAAAGCAGTACGCATATGCATCAACCATCATCTAGGTCTAAGCATAATTGGTTCAACAACTTTTTAAGTTTTAATTGTTATCAGTTATTCATTTATACAGGTGTTAAGAATCGAACATATTTGATGTGAGGGAATCGCAATCTCATCGATTTAAATTCACTAAAGTTATATATCAAATCACATTTAAAGTTCATTTCACAATATCAAGATCTTACTAATACAATTTAGGAGTTTACATCATTAGACGGGTTAGCACATATTTTGATACCAATTGTTAGATTCATTCACATATTTTGATACTAATTGTAATGATTCAGACTCATGCACCCTTGGTCAAACCTAATCCACATAGCCGTTAAAACCTTAAACTCAAATTGTTGGTAATAATTGAATCACTCTTTATATAGACTTTAAGAATCGAATGGGAGACGTGGTGGTATATCAGTTACATAATCACTTCCCTGACCAAATCGTGGAGGAAGAGCAATGTAAGTTCTAGAAAGTTACGGTCCCAATGGAATTTTACATGGAGCTGAATATATATACACAAGGTAAGGTCTCTAACTATCTATATTCCTCTATATCTTTCTCCCCCTCGTTCCTTTTCTTTCCCTCTTCTTCTACGTCCTCTTGTTTCCTTTGTTCTAACATTCCGATTATAAATCACGAGCATCCGGACTTCTTAGGCCATTCAAGTTTTCAAGCTTATCTAGATATGAAGCTTTTTTTGGGGTGGGACTTAATGGAGGCTTGGATGTTTTTTTCTCATTATCACTTTTCAAGTGGGTTTCTTGATCACTTGTGTTACACCTTGCGGAACCAACATCCCAGCCCATAAAATCTGAGAGTGTTGGTGTCTCTGAGGTACTCAACCTCGCTGCATCTTCATCTGTGTTCGAGGACATGTCGGATCTTGCTGGCGATGATGTTTGAGTAAGCGAATCGGCGTAAAGGACATCCTCAATTCTTGACATGACTGTATGGGCCAAGCTCTCTAGTATCCTTGAATAGCTCTCCAGAATAGCTTGTCCTACATCCTGTGAAGTTAAAATGTAAATAAGTTTATCAAACTTGAATACATTGAGGAAAATATAAAAACGCGGCTGCAAGCTTTCTGTACCCTGTTGTATTGGATCTTTGATATATCAAGCGCAGACTGTGGAAGCCCTGGGTAGTGCTGCTTGAGTAAGAGTAGGATAGTCTCTGCCCTCTCTTCAAAGAGTTCCCTCTTTTCCAAGCTGACACCGGAGCCCCAAGAAGACCTTCCATCTTTCTGGTTCATCTTCCTCTTCCATATAACAATAGAGGCCTCAATCCTGTTCTTAAGGTCAAGCACTTTGTGTTCTGTTGACAAGTCCATGGTTGACAGGAATTGCGCGGGATCAAAGTACTCCACTGTGATGCTTTTATAGATTGAATCACCAAGGCTTGCTCTTCCATTCTACATACACATGATGTAGAGGATCAAGTCAAAGCTACAACAATTCTATAAGGTTTTTAATTGATGGGAGTTTCATTTCTTTACCTTGGGGAGGGAATCGATGTAGCTTTCAGGGACCTCCATTTCAGATAGGACATTTGCATTGATGGTCATAGCTGCTTTTAATACCTGGTTGACAGACTCCTTTTGAGACAGCAGCCATCTTCGTGACGTCTCTGATAGCCCATTTGCAGGAACTTTAACAATCGGATGCCACCATTTGTCATCCCTCTGGCTGTTTTCATTTTCTGGATCATCATTTTTGGACACATACCAAAATTCTTTTTCTTGTGCAAAGTTGTCAAGGGTCTCCTGTTCATTATAATTCGATCAGCAACCGTGGTGTTAATCTTTGGTATATCATCAATTGATTTCATCAGATTAGAAACCAGAAGGATAAAGTTACCCACAATAAGCAATGTATCCAGTTTGCGCAGACCAGGTATATTCACCAGCAGATCGCCCCTTTGTTTAGTGACCATGATCTATCAAGTTGAAAACAAATTGTTGGGAGTTAATATGGTGAAATTGTAACCAAGGTGCGACATTGGAGTAGCTGTTTTAAGAACTATGACTCCTCCTAATATGGCTTGAAAAAATATACATGAGAGAGAGATACCTACCTCCATGCTTGTTCCATCCTTCGATTTCTGTTGTGAAGGGACAAATTCAACAATGTGATCAGTTACAGATAAAAGCCAATCAATTTCTTTTCTCCACCTTGCTTTCCTTTCTGGAGCCATAGGTTCTAATTTCCCTTGTTCTCCAAAAATCGATGCTGCATTATAATTGGCCAAGGCAGAGATGTGAATGAGAACGACCGTCAGTTAGGTGCATTCTTGTACTATAATAAACTGGTAAAGTATGTACCAAAATACTTCCAATAGGCTCATAATTAACAGTATTATTTTGTCATGAGGTGAAAAGGAAAAGCCAAAAGGTTGCGCCATGGGCGTTTCTGAAACCAGTCGCTTCCACATTATATTTCTACATGGAAATTAGATTTTAGACAGGAAGTCTACCTGCCAGGTTTGTCACGGCATTTGACAAAGCCAAAGCTGAAGAAACACCTTTTCCACCTCCTGACATATCTTCACCCAAAAGCAACTTGGCAAACCTTTCCTTCATCAGTTCCATATCTGTATCAAGGGACAAAACAAATTATTAGAAGGATTACTAGCATGATCTCAAGAGAAGAAAGACAGAAACAGACAGAGATTCACCCCGTTGTTTTTCATATGCAGGTTTCACATTGCAAATCACATATGCAAATTAGCTCTCTTGTTCATAAGTGGCAATGAAGATAAATTTTTATGGAACATGAATTGCAACTATGCTAATCAACATAGAAATATGCTGAACTGCACCTGATTGTGGCCTCTCCTGGGGATTTCCGGGCCTAGACTCTCCTATATTTTGGTGCTCCATCGATTTTTCTTCTGCATTTCTTGTGTCGATACTCCTTGATTGCAGGCTATCATCAACATTCTCCTCATTATCATCACCACCATCTGGGATCAGATTCTGCTGCTGTCTTCCTGAATTCTCAAGCATTTTCCCAATGTGGAAAGATCTCGAGCTCTGAATGCTGTACCGACGTGTTAATGTTCGAACCATTTTCGCTACAAGCTTCTCTCTGTGTTTCTTCTTTGTTTAGCAACAAAAACAAAGAAGAAACGATGGTGAAAATGATTATAAATAAAAAAGAGAAAAGTCTCCTTCAGTTTCTAGTTATAACAAATATTATATTCATTGAGTTAAAAAAAAATAAAATGAAGCAAAAAGAGGAGAACTACCGCCTTAAAATGAGAGGCTAAAGATTGAAAAGAAAGGGTTTATCTGATTCTGCAGGGTTAAAAGAGATTGAGGTCGAGGTGGTTAATTCTTTTTTCTGTTTTTGCAGCAATGGAAATGTGGGGTGCATGTTTTCAGAAACGAAGCAGCATAAACTGTAAACGACAAAGATAGTCATTTTCAAGAGCTTTTGTCTTTAAAAAAAGTCAATTTTTGAGAGGTCAATGCTGGCAAAATGCCCGGGAAAAACATACAAGCTTAACCGCTTTAACTAACTTTTTCTCTCCTTTCCTCTCCATTAAAGTGCCCTATTGAAGCAAAATTCTGTTCAGGTACTTTGGGCAGAGAATTTAGAGAAAAATAATATGGTCCCCGAACATTTATCGTTTCATAAAATTTGATCTTTATGAAACATATTCCCTGTCTCTCCGTGACTGATACATCCTAATTATTAGAGGCATAGCCTCGTGGTATTAGGACCTAACCGAGGGCCAAAAGACCAAAGAGCAGGATCCTTTCAACAATTAAGGGGCACGAGGAAAGATTCAATCAGGGATAAAGTATTTCAGATTTTAGATTTTAGTCAACCAAGATTTTTTTGCAATGAACATAATCAAAGAAAGAAATCTAACGTTGAAGATTGAGTCAAAATAACTAGAAATCTTGGGGGTATACTGTGAAATTAACCAAGGAACCAATCAAAGGGTTCTTAACTATGATTTATAAATTCTTAATCATGATAATTTATCTCAACTATTTTTAAGTTTTAGAATAACCATCGAGTAAACAAGACAGAGAGAGAGAGAGTGTGTGAAAGAAGAAAAAAATGGTGAGCAACGAAATCTCTCTGAGTAGTGAGGAGGAGGCTGAACGACACAGAAGCGTGGAGATGATAATAATAACAGCCATGGCCAGGCCAAAGCCAGCGCCATAGAAGCAAGCACATATGTGAAGAAGAAATGATATTGGGAGCCTGCAGCTACTCAGTTTGAACTTTCTTTTCCTACAATCATTGTTTGAAGAAAACAAAAAAAAGAAAAGGAATGCCATCTTACTGTGCTAAGCTTATTGACATCTTGCTTTATTAACAATGATCAATAGCAAAATTCAATGATAAGTTTGGTAAGTAACTAATTACATTATCAAATTGTAGCAAGTTCAATCCTATACTTTCCTCATAATTAAATTTTGAGTAATAAACTATTAGTAAACCTGAAATTTACATGAAAGTGGAGGCAGGGCAATGCTCACTATCAATTAATTGCCTTACAACAAGACAAAGTTCATAGCCAAATTGCAGCATAGCACTACCATTAACAACGAGCACAAGTTTTAACCCACTAGAGGAAAAAATATTAACCGACTAGAACTCTGGATGGCTTAGCTTCCAAAGATAGAGTACTTGATCTCCCTGGATTCTTCTTAAAGCCCTTTCGTTAATTAAACTTTCAAAAATAAGGCAAAAGGTCATCATCCTCCATTACTGCTACTAATTTCTCAGATTCAACATTCCAACCCCATCCTTTTCTTTTCCAAGAACAAATTTCCGTGATGGGAAGAGATTAAATATCCACCACCGACTTATATTTTCGACATTATTATTGTCAAAGTTGTCATCAATGTTCCTTTCACCAAACATTTAAATTTTTGACCAAGTCTGCTACCAATTAATGTCTACCTAACAAGATTGTGAATTAATTGCTACAAATTTGGAAACCCAACATGGCTGCAAATGTCCAATTTCCACATACCTTGTTTTGTAAACGTCAGCCATAATTTGTTTATTCTTATTCAACTACTATGCAGTACATTACATTTAATGGAGAATATGTCAAAAATATTTAGACTAAAACTGTTGAATATAGAGTTATTCGTAGCCATAGAACTTATAGTTAAGTAGGAAATAGTGATCTAAGATCCCTTCTCCCAATTAATCCCATGGAGGAGGGCAACAATTCCCATGGCAACAGCTTGAGAAAATTGGAGACAACTATGAGACGAGACAGAGTAACTTTGTCTTCATATTTCACATGCCCCAACATCAAAATTTGTATTTGCATAAGCAAAATAAATGGGGGTATATTTTGATTGTGAGGCATTCCCTCGTGTTTCCTTTTTCTGAAAAGCTTTTGGGTCCAATAATGGAATATAATGTCGGGAAATTTGTTGTTGATTTTTGATTCAAAAGATTTTTGGTTGGATTTGATTGCGTTATAGCTTGACCTTTTAGTTTCTGATCAACAGGTTGGAAGCTTTTTCCTAATCATCAATGTCCCATTGTCTATACTAATTTTATTAGTCACTTTTGGCACAATTATTAGAAGCTTTTTTAGCAAAAACGCTCTGCTGTAATTACATCACAAAAAACTACAAATATTTTAAGTTGGAGGCATGTGCTCGCAGCCCCCTTAAAGGGGAAGTGTGATGTAATTCTGAAGAGCATTTTGATGCTTGATTGAAGGAAATCTTCTCGTATTTTATGCTGTTGAATTATTGTCATAGGGAATGTATAGCCCCAGTGAGAAACAAACAGAATTCATAAAAATTCCTACCCTCAACAAGAATTATTATAGGCTCTTCTTAATCTTAATCAGTTGTAATCAACACTTAATGGATCATATAAGCAGCACTTGCCGAAAAACATGGCATAAAGCTAAGATGACATTGATTTGTGAAGGATTTTGCACATGGATGCAGTGAAGATTCCACCTTCAAAGAAGTGCAGCTGTTCTTCAATATTTAATGCATTAGTTTCCCTTTTATATATATATATATATATATATATATATATATATATATATATTTTGGGAGGTCTCAATGGGAGCTAAGAAGCTGATTCAGGTCATTGGCTCATGGTCCAAAATGGTATATCTATCATGGATAACCTGAAAAAGCCAAAAAAAAAAGAAAGAAAAATTGTAGGATTGAAGTTCAGAGGAGTTTCTGATGATGATCCGAAACGAATGTCACCTTTGCCTTTTTGGCTCAGCATGGGCAAAAGGGTTCTGTCAATTTCATTTCAAGTTGCAGATAACTTTCTTGGCTGAGTCCAAATAGTAAAAGAAGTTTTGAAATTCAAACCATTGCTTAGCCAATAACCTTTACTTGAGCAGCGGCCAAAAGTAGAGGTGAGGATTCAATTACATTTATGATAGGCACCAAAAGTAGAAACACTATATGCAGATAGGCATATGTATATGCTGCAAGAGTCCCGTGACTGCATTAAACTGCTCAATTTTCAGCTCTTAAGATTTTTTCCCTGCTCACTGAAAACCCAGTTAGAAAAGGTAAATCTTGAATCAATTAAAGTTCATTTAATTAATAATGTGAAGGTGAGAGGTGATTTAGACATGGATGCAAGTGGTTTTCTCAAATGGTTTAGGAAAAAACCACTTCTTTGATTCTTTTCCCTCACCTCCAAGGCACTGAGCTCATGATTTCCAGTGAGAGACCACTTTAATGTTAACATTGTGTACTATGTTAAAAGGCTGAACACTTTGGTAAGTGACGTAAATGAAAAAAAAAAAGAAGGAGCTGGAGCCTGCTCTGAAACAAGTCCAAGATTCAAAGGCTTGACTCTTCCATTTTGGCAAACTGTTACAGATATAAAATTGAAAGCCTGCACTGTTAAATATTCCACTTTCAAAAGAGTTAGGTGTCTGTACTGTGAACCACTTGAATTTGTTTCAGTTTGGTTCAATCGAGTATACTTGCCTATCACATGAATATAAAGTTGTGAAGGATGTTAGGGTTTGTAGCCAAAAGCACAGTTTCTTTCCTAGGTAGTGAAATCTCAAATCCATTGAGGCTAACACTATAGGCTTATAGAAGTACTGATTAGACGGTTGCTTAGGCCTTTGTTTCAAGATTACCAACAAGTAAACCAAAATTTTGGGTCACTCAAAAGTCAGCTGATTGGAGGAAAAAAAATTTTGGACAAAGATTTGAAGTTTCTGAGCTGTAATATTTTCACCCCTTTTTTGTATTTCAATTTCTTTTGGAATATTAAAAGTCAGCTAGTTGATTCTTCTTTATCCCTTTTCCTTTTGCCAACACTATAGTAATACTTTTTTCCTCCACAAGCATAACACGTTTTTAACCTTGACAATGTTATACTTTTCCAACCAAACCAATATATATATATATATATATATAAAAGAAAAGTTACATCTGTAAATTTCATTTGGTTTTGTTTATTTTGTAAAAGTAATTTATAAATTACAAAAATATTTTTATGGTTATAATTTGTTATATTACCTTTAATAAGTGTTTATAAATATTATTGAACATTTTTTTAGTTTTTACAATTTTTTTTCTTTTAAAAAGGTGGGCACGCGAAACGACCATAACTGAAATGAAGGTAGTTACCGATGAAGTTAAAAGAGGAGAGAGAGTGAGAGAGTTTGTAGTGTGCAAAACTGACCATCCCTTCCCTCCTCGTGCCTTTTGAACGGATTCGTTTCTTTCTCTCTCTCCCTGCAACACGCGTACGAAATATAACTAAAAATCTCACAACCCCCATGAAATCACGCCGCTTCTTAATCTTCCTAAACGATCTTATTATCCCCCATTTTTTCCCATTAAACTAAACAATTATAAACTGTATTTTGAAGACTTTTTCTTTATCTATCTCTCTTTTCTTTGCTTTGGAAGAAAACCAGAAGGCTCCTCTGCCCTGTAAACACTCCTTCACTGCTTCACAAAGTCAATGCACCTCGCAGCTTTTTCTTTCTCTTTGGATCTGAGTCTCTGCTAGCTCAGTTGCTGCAGGTCTGCACTCCCTGCGTAAATTCTTGGGTCTTGATTGTTTTTTTGCTTTGTTCTTTTCTTCTTCTTCTTCTTTTTTTAATCTGCATTTTCTCATCTGGGTCTTCTTTCTTTTGCTTCTTTTGGGATGCTTTTGTTCTCATTCTTGGTTCTGAGTAGAGGGTGAAAGATTATACATGGGAATTCAGGTACTTGTGCACGATAGACTGAATTTCCATGGAAAAATGATTCCCTTGCCTTGAGTTTGTTACTGTTCATAAAGTAGATGACACGTTTGCTTTGTAATTTTATATCCTTTATCAGTGATGTAATGAGATTGTGTGAGGTAATCTTGCATGCTTATTTTTGGTCATACCATGGAAATTCTTTCTTGCTCAAATCTAGCACCTCCAGTTTTCAACACATGTCTCCTGGATTTATGATCAATACTAGTTTTAAGGATCTGTTTGGATAAGAAATCTCTGGAGATGATACAAAAGCTAAAGTTTGACACATTCAGAGAGGAATGGAAATTTTTTTTCATTTTTTAATGGCATTGCTTTTGTTTATTAGGGCGGCAACTGATTGAGGTTTTTGCTTATGTTGTTTCCACTGAAGCAGAGACGTACAAGTGTTGTTTTTGTCTGTTTCAGATAATCATTTGGGAAGACTGATTATAATATCCCGAGCATGTAAGCATCATCTCATGAGAAACTTTTAGTATTGGCGGATTTGGTCTTTTATTATTTGTAAGCATCTGATTTTATAAATATTTTCGGTTACAGAATATGCCTCAAGACAGTCTGAGATCAGTTGTCTACAGATCATTTGTTACCTGTGATGATCCAAAGGGAGTCGTAGAGTGTGGAACAATTAGAAGGTCCAAAAGTGGTTCTGAGAAGATGGAGCATAAGAATGAAGGCCGGAAAGCACGGAACAGATCAAACCGATGTGCGGCGCGTAAGGCAGAAAAAGAAGAGTTGGTGACTAAAGGGGCCATGGATGAACTACATAGCTCATCTTCCTGTCAGCTCTTGGAGGTTTCAAAAGGAGCGCACAAGCTGAATCAGGTAATTGACTCATGGTCCAAAGGGCTATGGTATGATGGGCATTCAAAAGATATTGCCAAAGATTTGTTGAAAGGAGCTCTTGATTTGCAAGAATCTCTACACATGCTTGGGAAATTGCAAGAAGCATCCCATTATATGGCTAGGTTGAAGAAGAAAGAAAAGGAAAAAGGTGATAGGGTGATAAATGATCAACTGATTCAGAGAACGAATTCAAGCGCAGATGAAGAGCAAATTCACCCAACTAGATTCCAAAATCCACGCCTTTCCACTGATGGTTCTTCAAGAGATTGCATTGAGGAGCTAAGGAAAGTGATCAGAGACAGCCTAGCTAGGCAAAATCTATTGCCAAATGTAAATGCTGAAGAAAAGAGATGCTTCAGTAGAAGATATTCGGACTCAGCTTCAGATATCCCATCTACCAGCTCGAGCCAATCTTCAACGGTTCAAACCGACAACTTTACTTCCATGGATTCATCTATCTCGTCAGCAGCTCTAGAGAAGAAGGCAAGAGGGCCAAGTTTGATTGCAAAGCTTATGGGCCTAGAAGAAATACCTTCAAAACCATTGCAGACAATTTCACACAGAGAGCTGGATAGCAAGAAGATTTTCAGTCAACAGAGGCCTATCTTTGAAATTGATATGCCAAAAGGAAGGAAGTCTCAATCTGTTTCTCAGAAGGAAGATCCAGAGAGGAGGACGCTGAAGGACATCCTTGAGACCATGCATTTTAAAGGACTTCTGAAAAGCAACTCCATTAAACAGATTAAGTCTGATTCCCATCAGTTAAGTGATTTGTTTTCTGAACAGATGTTGGTTAATGATAGCCCACCTATTGTACTCATAAAACCTCGACATGGTCCACACCTGCAACCACAAGAAAAGTTTGTGCCAGCGTTTCAGGAGGAGAGAAGCTCAAACGCAGAAACTAAGCTCAAAAAACTAAAAGTAAAAGAGGAGCCTCCTTCCGGAATAATTGACTCCAAGAATAGAGGTTTGAACTTCAAGGATATGAGCAGAAGAGTGGAAGCAGAAGCGGAAGAAACTCCTGTCAAAAGACTTAGCCAGCAGGAAGGTGCTAAAGACAGCCAAGAGAAAGAGACCAGACCAGCGAAAAAAGAAGTAAAGACTAAACAGAAGCTTTCTACCAAGATGAAAAGTTCAGGTCCTGTAACTCAGCCATTGCTGAAGAAAGAGGCAAATGACAAAAAAATTGATAAGATACCAAAACCTGCAATAAGCAGCAGGAAATCAGTTGAGAAGGAGGTTGCAAAAGCAAAGAATTTATCAAGGCCTAAAGATCAAGCTAAGGTTACTACTCCAAAGCCTACTAAGCCTGAAAATGGATTGAATGTTACAAAGAATAAAGTTTCTAGTCAACGAAGTCCTACAGCTAACTCCCACTCTAATCGCACACCACAAGCTGTAGTTCGTGGTCCTGGTGATCGGAAAAAGAGTCCAGCAAAAAAGGAAAAGGCAGTGAGCAAGGCTCCAGCAGCTAAAATAACTGTGAGTCGTTTAAGTTTACATTCTGCTGTTATAATTCTAAATTTTGTTAAACAGCATGTTGAAATACGATATTTGAAATGCCTCTGCTACATGCGTTAAGCTATGAAAAAGGATTGAAAATTAAATGCAATTTATCTTCTGTTCAGGCTGAGAAATTAGAATGCAAAGGAGGTGACAAGAGGATTGATCTTATATCTGAAAAAGATACTGTTTTGGAAGGCTATAGCACTGAAACTGCAGATCAAATTCCTACGAAGGAGGCAACAGAACACAGTGATATTCAGATTGGAGGTAATTCCCTTTTTGACTGAAAATTTATTAAAGCACAGTGCTGTAGTTGACATAAGTCAGCTGCCATGTGCTCAAATTAGAGATGTAAATGCATACAGACATGCATTTCTGATGTAATTGCATGTAGAATGCATGTCATAATTAAATAATTGTGTATTGATATTTGCTGATTGGCTCCTTTAATGCTGACATCTCTCCACTCCAACAAGAACTTTTAGGGAAAAAACTTTAAAGCAATAAACCACGTAAAATTTTAAAAGCCACCATCATGATAAGGTTCATGTCTTCTAACTCAAATTGGCTAACCTTAAAAGAAAAAACATGTAGCTTGGGAACAAACTTCAGTTGATACAGCACAAGACATGCTTTCATGCTGTAGTTACTAAAAGAGAAACTTATGGGGGATTGAATGAGAAAACATTCTAGGATCTCCAAAGTCATAGTTGGAGTTTTACCTTTTCTTCACATAAATTTTCTTTTTTCTCCATTTTGCTGATATATGGTATTTGGACTCAACTGTTAGCTGCCTTTTAGGTAACCATATAATGGAATGTTTTCTGTTGAATTGAAAAAATACGTTCTAATAGTTTAGTTTAGAAAAATGTACTGCTGTACGTTATGTGCAGAATGTAGATGCTTACCTAACAATTTCTTTTCTTTTTTGTTTCTTTTAGAACACCACGATAAGAGCGAGAGTTCTGTTAGTGATGTTATTCCGGTGACTACTGGTGACCAAAACAACATTGTACCCATTGGAGAAGTTGATGATGACCCTATCATTCCAATTGGAACCGGCAATGAAAGCTTCATGATAGGGACCAGTCTAAAAGCTTTGCTATTGAGCAGTCCAGCTTTTCTCAATCATGCAGAGAAGCTTTTTAATCTTAATGTGAATGTCCCTACAACTCCACAAAAATTTGGCATCAGTGACTTTACAGATGCCAACGCACATCTCTCGTTGGATTGTGCAAATGAAATTGTTGAACGAAGAAGCTTTCCCGATGCTCGAATGGTCTACCATCCGATATTAACCCTGGTTGGAAATTTCAAGAGTTATATCTGTCTAGATCATTTGTTAAAGGAAACTTGTGATGGGGTTGAGGCTCTGAGAAGCTATAGTGAACTTGCTGGTGAGAACTATCCTACTGATACTCTTTATGCAATGCTGGAAAGAGACATAAAGCGCAGTGAAGTCCTAAGTGCAATATGGGACTTGGGTTGGAGGAAAGGATTTTCTGTGGATGACACAATGCAAGTAGTTGTTGACATAGAGAAGCAACTATTGAGCGGGTTAATTGAGGAGATTTGTGCCTAAGTTCTGCTTTACCAACTTGTTAAATGGTTCAACAAATGCACAGCTTCAAGAAGTCAGTGTTGGAGCACCGTAAATAAGCTTTTCTTTGTTTGACAAAAGGAGGCAGAGTTGGAAGTCTTAGCCATATATCTCGGATTCAAAATTAAATTTCAAATGTGAAATTTTCGTTGCTATTAGTGACGCATGTAAATTGAGATTCCTGGCACCTCAGTGTATTGATATCTAGATAAATTGAAATCTGTACATAACCCAAGTCTTTTCTTCTTTTCCTTTCTTTTTTAATACGAATTAGACATATCACATATTTCGTGAGTACTTTCTTGTTAAATACATCATATGACCTAATGTAAGTGTCTTTGGATGAAAATATTCTTCAAATTTCATAAGTCGAGGGCAAGTAAGAAACTTAAATTTGACCCAAACCAAAGAAATTTGCCCATTTACTCATTTGGACAAATATTCACTCAATCAACCATTACTATACCTCCATATTTCAAGCTTAAATTTCAACAGGGCACGGCAGCAAACATTGTCTTATTCCATGCTTGACTGACTCGATCCCTTTTGGCAATGACAGCTACTCAAGCCTCAATCATACATCTTTATTCATCATTTCTTGGGCTTCATTTCTGCCAACTGCCAAAAAGTCTATGGGAAGCAGCTTGCCCATTGACAGAGACAACCATCATAAAACAAACAGCGGGTTTCTTAATAACAATAATTACATTATTCTAATTTCATAGGGTATTTCTTTTTATCACATGCAGCAGAAAATGAAGAATTCCTTACCCTACTTCTGATAAATTTGCAAAACAGGCAAATTTGGAGTACCCTGCCTCTCTATCCATTCAGAATATGAAAGACAATGACTTTATAACTACTAGTCTACCATTGAGCAGAACTTTTGGTAGCAGTATCTTACCGCTGCACATTTCTGCTTGTACCCTGAATCCTTGATGGGCAATAAAGCTGGTTTTGGTATGGCAGGCCTGGCTGTCTGCCCTTTGGCCTCCTCTCAGACTCTTCTTATCGTCGCACTAGTACTTTATGAAGATGCTCCCTTGAAGATAAGGAAATTGAGGGTCCCCAGAGCAAAATAAACAAAAGTCCCTTTAGTATGAGTGAAGAAGCATCCAAAGTTTGAGCCTACCACACATTGCCATCCACTCCCGTATTCCTTGTCAAATTCCTGAAAAAGTTTCCAAACACCCACCCATCTAAACAAATGAATATAGCTCCAAAGATGCACCAAAATCAAGTTCGGAACGCCATCTTCATTCAAATAAAAGTAACAGTGTAGAGAATAACGAGTAATGAATATAGAAAATACTACTACTAAATTAATACCTTCTTGATGTGGGCGGCAATTGAGATGCAGTCGGAAACATCATAGAGATCAAGAGCTTGAGAAGCAGAAGCCATGGCTTGGCTTTGCATCTTCTCTGACATGTCTGTCTCTTTTATCATAGCTTTGCCTTCCAGCATCTCCTCTCTGCTCTGCCCTTCTCTCCCAAGAATCTCACAAAGGATTCTGTTCCTTGGTTCTATGAATGTGTCTTATGACGTTCTGCTGTTATAAATATGAGCAGAAGGGCAAACAACCTTAAAACCCCGAAGCTTATGTGTTCCACAATTATATAAGAAATGAAAGTAAAAGAGTTTACTGTTGCGTATGAATTCGAGAACTTTTCCAGATGGGCACGTAACCCAACCTTTTTTCTACACTTTTTTGTCTGCTTCGTCACGGCTTTTTAGACTTCCTTTCCATCCAACACTTTCACACGTTGCCGATGAGAATGATTCAAAGACCTCACCCCATCCAATCACCATGCTAATTGTTAACCACAAGTTGTACTTTTCCTTTCTCACACTTATGGATAACCTAATATAGCACAAAATGAATTTTACATTGGCAACACTTTACCCAATTAAACTATATAGCATTAAGTTAGTAAATAGAACGTGTAACTGGGAAATAAATAAAAATTAAATATAAATGATAAAAAATGGAAAAATAAAATATGAAAGGTTTAGCACCTTTCAAGGGGGAAGTTATTTTATGAATGAAACATATAAAAAGTGGACGATGGATGCCTGATTGAAAAAAAATCCAATTTGCTAATCAGCTGCCGGCAGCAGAGATGGTCAGATTTTTAATTAGCTTATAAGGTTACATATTATTAGTATTAAATTAAATTAACTTAAAACCACCCCTGGACTTATATTTATTAGTAATATAGTACATATTTGACAAGTTAATAGAAACGGCCATTGACTGTACATGTCTTATACTGGACTGGACGGTCAAACTGACGTGGCGCCTGCTCAATGGGCGGTTGCCTAACGAATGATCAAAAACCAACGACCACTAGGATTTCACATCTTGGTTGACTTTTGACTTTTATCCACCGGTTACAAATCCAACATTTTCCGGTCGCCTTCGTCCGTCGGTTTGTTTCAATTTCCACGTTCCAGACGACGAAGAGTGAAGACGTAATAGTTCGGACAAAGGAAAATTCAAAAAAAAAAGAAAAAGAAAAAGAGAGAGCCGGTAATTTTGGGTCTATAAAGAATGTCTCTTTGGGTCAGAAGAACTGGGCCTGTTACAATAATGGGGCCTGCTGTCCGTATAACTGTATGGGCCATAGATTGGAAGGCCTCGTAGCCCAATCTTCAATATTAGAAAAATTTTGAATCCTAGGTGTTATTTTGAATTGTTGTTAAAATTTTTTGTCTTTTTTTTCTATTTTTAAATGTTTTGTTAGCCTTAATTATCAAATAACAATAATTAATACCATGATTGGTTATTGTTGCTAAATTTTAACAATAAAAAGATGAAGAACGGTAGTGGTTAAACTATGATTTATCATCATTAGCTCAATAGGTGTTTTTCTTTTTTTTTTTTTAGTTAAGGCTCTTTTTAAGCTCATTAAAAATATTGTTAATAGGGATCAACCATAACTCGTAGTAGAAACAAAACAGGTTTCCAAAGTTTTCAAAAAAAAAAAAAATAGTTGTTTCCAACCATTTTTCTAAATTTGATTTTGTATTCACGTAACTGTATTACGCATGAATAACACAAGTCCTCCTTGTAGTGTACTTTGTATCACTGGTTATGTCCTCTATCTTTTGATCATAAGCATCATTTCAAAATGTAAACACTATTATTTAAATTACTTGATTATCAATTTCTTTACTTTGTTAAAATGCTTCATTAATCAGTACCATTGTTGTTTACAAGTCAACTTTTTTTTTCTTAAATATTACAAAAAATACTAAAACTAATAATTATACACATCAATCTACAAATTTATACATTTTTTAATTAATTATGAATTGAAGGGATTGATGTCAGGTATCACAATTGAAGCACTTTCTTCGAGGACACAGAGAAGGTCGCGGGAAGGAAGAGATTTCAATTTATGAGTTTGACTTTTTTGAAGGTATGATCACTGACCAACATGATGTTTGTCTTGGTCTTCAACTTGAAAAGTTTCCTAATTATATTTGTTGTTAATTAGAACCTATAAGGTTTCTGAATTGTGAATAATAGTCTTCCCATGCTTTAATTTTCACATTAGCCTTTATAAATAAGAGCCTTTTTTTTTCATAATTTTACTCAATAATTGAAATCATATTTTAATCAAGGCCATGCTATAAAAAAAATATAAAATAATACTATATAAACTCATTAGGAAAAGACCTTTTTTGTATTTCTTTTTTTTTTGGGTTGGATGAATAATAATCTATTATTTAATTATATTTCTGAATTACAAATGTGGCCTTTGAGGCAAACTGCTGGCACCCGTAGTAAGCGTGAACAGCTCATCCCCAACGCAACCACAGCGACGGGTACAAACACAGTTAAAAAATTAGCCCCAAAATCCAAACAAAAGCTTATCGGTTAAGCCCTTATTAAGCTTAGATTAATCCGCCTTTAAAACTTATAATTAGTGCTAAAAAACACCAACATCTCCTTGAAAAATCCTCACATGCTACAGCTCTGACCTCACCCGTCCCACGAGTCACGACCCGATCCCTCTGTCATTATTTTACTGTATTATTCTTTTTTAAAAAATATAAATAAATTATTCAAAAAATAAAAAACACGGAAAGCAGCCAAATTGCGGAAGCAGATTTCAAAGGGCCCTCCCTCAACTCCAAATGTACCAAAATTGAAACTCTTCCTGTTTAGTGTTATTTTTTTTCTTCTTCTTAACTGATAAACAGCGAGTTGAGATAAAGGGTAGAAGCGACCTAGGGTTTTTGGATTATTGAGGAGGGGATTAGCAGCGGCGTTTCTGGCGATGGCAGATGAAAAATCGACGATCGTGATGGCGAGTAGAGATAGAGAGATTAGGGATCGAGAGCTTCTAATCCCGGTCGCTGACTCCGTCCATGATGATTCCTCCAAACCTTCTTCTTCATCTTCTTCGCATCACACGGGCCGCGAGGTTTCTTTTTCTCTCATTTTTCTTTTTTTTTAATTATTTTTTAGACTGCGTTTTGGTTGTTAATTGTGGTTACATTTGTCATTTTATTCGATTTGACTCGGCCTGCAGCTACTTTTGTTGCTAATTGTAGGATTGTATTTAAATTTTGTAAATGAATACTTATAAAATAGAGCTTAATGTGATTTTGTGTGAAAGAATTGGATTTTTTTGTCTTATTCTAATAGAGGAATCGGGTGTTTCAAATTGATTTTTGAGTGAGAAATTATTGATTTTAAAAGGGGCGTGGAAATTGAACTGTTTTGTTGTATTTGACTTGATATTCTCATATAGGATTGCAGCATAAATTACTGGAGGTGTTAAAAATGAGGAAGTAGTTTTCTCTTTCTTATTCTTTTTTTTTTTTTTTGAAAAAGTTGTTATCAGAAGATAACACCATTTGGGAGATATAACTAAAATGATGGTTGATAGGGTTGTGTACAACATTGGTGATATTTAGAGGCTTTGTAGTTCTTACATAAGAATGTATCTGTGATTTAATTTTTAGCTTGAGATGTTGTGTAAAGCATGTTAAGGCACAAAACATGAGATATATAATTCCCTTTATCTTTGTAGTCAATCCCTGTTGTACATGCCCTCGAATAAATTAAGGATATAGAATTTGAAGTCACCCTTCCGCTTATGAGACTTGATGACACTATTTTTTCTGGTTGATGGAGTGGGTAAAGAAAATCGCTATGGTTCCTTATGAAAGCTTTCAAAACAAATGTTTTCAGCCTGTTGCTTGTATGAGAACTGTATGCTTATGCTTGTATGTACTCTTGTAACAACGCATACACATTTTTATTTTTAATTTTGCCTGACAAGCTTGTTTTATGCAGACCTTTTATAAAGTTGTCAGGAGCTGGGCTTCAAAGAAGTTCATGACAGGATGGTAAGTGGCATTCTACCATCTCCTTGCTTTAGATTTATGATCTCATATGGATATTTTTGCAATTAGCCTCTGTATATATTTAATGATTTGCACAGCTCTACTGGTATCTCCTAACAGAAAAATGATCTGTGCGTGCCTCCAATTCAGTTCCTTGTCTTATGTCCTTGATTGGGAGTGAAAATGCTTTCACTAATGTATCAAACCTAAATATCTTTGTTTAGCTTTCACTTTAATTATAATTATAGTAACTTTCAGAACTTTGGGATTGTTAATTTTTGGAATAAGAGATCAATTTTAATGCCTTAAAAATTTTCACAAAGTAATTTGCTATTTTATAGACAAAGTGCTTGCTGGAAAATAAGTGTTTCAGTAGATCTATTAGGATGCATTATTCAGGCATTATTCAATATAATAAGTTCCTCCCTTCACAACTGCTATCTGGGGAGAGTTATGTTGGAATCTTGATCTGAGAAGTGAAATGGAGGTAACAGATTTAATTTGTGACCAGCCTGAAACCTCCTTTTATTTTCTCCTTGTTTCCACCCTTTTTCTCCTCATAAAAGTCTCATCAAATGGTTGGTTGTCTTGAAATTCCTCTGCTACTTATCTATCATCATACAAAATGGTAGTTGTTACCATCATGAATTTGTGCTAACCTTTAATTTGATGAATTCAGAAGCTTAGTAGCTTTTGTTTCTAATAGCGAACATATGTTCTTGGAATTTTATCTAAGAGAATTTCTATTATCATTCACGATGCTGTCATAGTTGCTGCTGATTCATTGTTGTTTTGCAGTGTCATTCTGTTTCCTATTGCAATCACTTTCTACATAACATGGTGGTTTATTCACTTTGTGGATGGCTTTTTCTCTCCAATTTATGCTCAACTTGGAATTGATATATTTGGTAAGCATCTTGTTTATTTATCAATTAAAAACATTTTGTGGCCCTTCTCATCTAGACCTGTGAACTTGTTGCACGATTGTTAAATCGTTTACTCTTTTCCCCCTTTTATTTGACCCTGGAGTTTGTAAACTCGTGTTCTCTTTCCTCAAGGCTTCTGAATGATGAGGATTATAGTGACCTACACTTTTATGAGAGATTGTGACAACAGCACTGATCATTGTGAGTGCTAGGATGTTATTGTAGGAAACTGGAGGAATCATTGGTTATCGTCCATCATCTTTGCTGAAGTTGTTCTTTTGCCTGCAGCCTGTATAATACTTATTAGTACTATTCATATCAAATTTCTGCAGAATCATACTTTGATAGTATGGAAAATTTTGTTGGGGACAATTTAGCCTAGGACAAAGTGCTTCTTATTAGATTATAGTTTTACGTATCTTTAACTGGATATCTTGCTGAATATGATATGTACTGCTAGAAAACTAAAATGATTTTTCCAGAGTGGCCTTTGGTAATGATTTTCCCATCACAGATGTACGTTAATATTGATCTTTTTCATTTT